ATTTTGACTTCTTGTATTATAGCCTTCATCTCTAACAGTTCCATCTGATTCTTTTGTAAAGTGTGAAATTCCTCTTTTAGATCTTGCATGAATTTCCTCACCTCCTGGAACTCAACTCCTTTGCCCTTCCTCTTCAGCAGTTCCTTGTCTCTCTTCTCTTTGATCTCTGTAAGCTTTACCATTATGAATGTTCTGACATTTCCATGACTTCCATTGAACTATGTGTGGATGAAGAGGAGTTATCCTTTTCCCTTGTGGGAGAGGTATTTTCCTGCTTCCCCATATTTCTTGTGGTCCTGCAGCGATTTCTAGTCATCTGGTGGATGGTCAACTTCTTCACAAACTTGGAAGTTCAATCTGAGGGTTGAGGAGTGTGTAGAAAAGGAAACACAGAGAAGGAAACAATAGCAACAACTGCAAAGAAACAGACAAGAAACAAAGAAAAAGAGAAAAAAATGAAGGGAAAAAATTTAAATAAAACAAAAAATGAATATTCAAAAAATTTTAATAAACCCCAAAATTAGAAAAAAAAAGAGAGAGGAGATAGAGACAGAGACAGAGGTAGAGAGAGACAAAGACAGATACAGAGAGAGGAGGCCTGAATGGAGTCTTCCTACCACGTGAGTTTTCTGTGCTGGAGGCCGAATTATCAGTGGAACATTTTCATTTCTCCGTTTCCCCAAAATGGCTAGATCACAGGAGCCATGGAGCTGTCTCTGGAAGAAGGCCTGTTCTTTTCCCTTCCCCCACAATATCTTTTCTAATTTCTCTCTCCTTTATGGATTTTGGGCATGGGTGCACATGCACTTAGTCTGTTTCTTTCAGGTTGCTAAGTCTGGGGCTCCAATAGTGAGGCTGATCATGCAGGACCCAGCTCCCTTAACCACAAGGCTACAGGCTGTCCCAAGACTCCTTTTTACAAAAAGTTTTATTTTTAATTGACAAACGATAACTGTATATTTCTAAGATATAATGTTATGCCTTCATATATACATACATACATGTGGAATGATCAAATCAAGCTAATTAACATATCCATCACCTTAAATAGTTAATTGTTTTTGTTTTGAACACATTTAAAAGTCCACTACTTTAACCATCTAAAATATACAATGTATTATTATGAACTATTTTCCATGCTGTGTAATAGAGCGCCAGAACCTTATTCTGTCACTTAAAATTTCAGATCCTCCTTCTGTTCCTTGTCTAAGATACCATGGGTGATCAATTTTGTTTGTCTTAGATGTTTCTATCTATAAAAATGTACAAACAGCAGGAAAAAAAAATTCACCAAACTGCTGTTTTTCTTATCATCATTATATAAAATGGTTCATCTGACCACTTTCCCAAGTCATATAATTCATTCTCCAGCTAAATTTTGAACCTCTTTTGTATCCAGAAATCTGAACTAAAAGATCCTTACTAGTAGTTTACATCCATTGAGTTACCATAGGAAACATTTATGATTGCATGGAATAAGCTTTCCAGAAAATATTAACAGAGAAGACAGTGGAAATATAGGCATCTCTAGAGAGAAAAGCATACAGGTAAGAGACCCCAGTATGAGTCAGGGCATCAATGCACCTTAACTAAGTGACAGGAAGGAATAATAAGAGCCCAAACACATGCAGAGGCATAGAGCTATCTTACTAACAGTCAATTAGGTGACTAGTGTCAGCTCTTGAGAATTTATGACTTCAGAATCCAGGGCATTCAGCTCTTGTGAGAATTACTAAAAAGAGACCATAGTTCTGTCATGGCATGATAAGGAAAAGCAGATTCTGCAGTTAGGGAGCTTCTGGTCTGATGGGGAAAGTGAAACACACACACACACACACACACACACACACACACACACTCAGACACATATACACATAAAAAAAAAGTCTGACATCTTCAAATATAGTAGAGTGGCTATGTACATATGTACATACATATATATTCTCTATACATATGTATACATATATATTTGGACATAAAAGGGACTTTCAAAAAGTTCATAGAAAAATGCATATTATGAAAAAATGCATGAATTTCAAATTTTTTGAACCAACATAAACTCATATTTTAATTCATTTTTCCCCAAATATTCTTCAGTTCCCTTGTATGAAAATTTCTATATAGATGTATACAAAAATTCTCTGGTAATTCAAACTTGACTGAATTTATAAGGAAATATGGGAGGCTCCAAAAAATAGGAAATAAATGTGTGATTTTCTAGAATGGAAAGTTAAAAAAAATTTGCCAGAGGATATTTGTGCTTGCCAGAGAGAGAGCAAGAGAGAATGTGGAGAAAGTGGCCCTCCATGGGATACAGTCACAATGGAATCCCTTCTCCTCCATTTGACCTCCTTTCAGGATTTTGGGTACACATATGCATGCACGTGCACCAGCATTTGTTTTTCAACGTGCTGGGTCTAGGACTCAAACTGCATTGTCAGTCATATGGGATCCAACCATTCTAACCACCATACCAGCAGCTGGCCCTAGAATGCAAAGATATTATGAAAGTCTATGATTGGAACGTAGGTACTAAGACATCCTAACTGATTAATCATGTGATGACAGAGATGACAGGGAGAAACATTAAAAAGTGCAGCTACAGTTAATGAAAGAGCATTTCCCT